ATATACAAAGCTTTAATATAGCTACGTTTGTGTGCTTAATTATATGCATTTACAATTTATAAGTCTATCTATCAAACTAAAAGGAATGAATAGTGCATCCAGTTGTTTTGGGCGATTGTGAATACTAGAAGATATCAGACCGCTAGGTGGCGCAATTGACCAATAATTTCTAAGAGCTGTGTACTAAACATATTTTATTTTTTTTTACACTTTATGGTACTAAAGCATCAGTACACCAAAAGAGAAAAGAGTATCTTCAGACCACATTAATCTTAGTACCAACCGTGCTGCTTAGTCACCTGACATTTAATATTTAATAAATGTCTTGGGGTTTTGAATTATGGAGGTGGTACTGAAAAATGTTAAAGTTTTAAAACATTGCCAAGTAAGAACAGCTTTATTCACGTTATGGATGAACTGACTGTGCTTTGTGTTACATCTGCTTTTAATATCAGAAGTATGTTTCAGGTGAGTTGAGCAGCTTGGAAAACTGTGTTGCATATGTGTATGGCCTATATATTCTTAGGAATGATAAATGTTTATATAATATGCAACTTTGTTAGAATCAATTGAACAGAAATAATGTACAGTAACCTAAAAGTACAAAATCCGTGGCATTTTAATTTTCCATGCATGGCATGTTTGACCAATGTTAACGTCTTCATATACAAAGCTTTAATATAGCTACGTTTGTGTGCTTAATTATATGCATATTTTATGTATGGAATGTTCATAAGAAATACAGCAGAAAAGATATTGGCAGCGGTGGGATTCGAACCCACGCCATCGAAATGACTGGAGCCTAAATCCAGCGCCTTAGACCACTCGGCCACGCTACCACGAGACTTCTGATGAAAGATTAGTTTAATAAAAATGAGCAATCTTAATGATTCATAATCATAATAAAATGATTCAAAGTTACAAATTAGAGTTAGCCTATCGACTCGCTTTAAACAAACACCGCTCAATCGTTAATTAATTTTTTTACTTGTTAATTTTGCACGTGTCATAAAACCGAATCGTTAGAAACAACTGGTAACTGATTACATGTAACGTTAATCTGGATTACGTAACGTTAGTCAGATTCCAAAAATTAAGTATGATTAAATTACATTTTAATATTTTTCAAAAAAAGAAGCAATACAGTATTCATAATTTATTGATTCTCCCTAATTCCTCTTTTTCATCTTTTAAATGTTCTAAAATAGATCAATGTTTCTAAAATAGCCTACGGTTTATATACGCTCTCAGAAAGTCTTCACATAAAGACCAGACATTAGTCAGGTGGCTACACAGCATTTGACCACTGGATTTACAAAAATCATTTCAGGTTTAAGAAGTCTTTCAACATTGTATCAACTAGTTATTGATGAACACATACATTTTTATTTGAATGATCACTCAGTAGGTAATTTAACCATGTGTTACTATGTCTTCGGAAGGCTTTTGTCTTTCAACACACATTAAAATGCACATATTCACATTATTTCTCATTTACATGTAATGCAGGCATTCCCAAACTTTTTTGAACCTTTTGAACCATCTGAACCTTTTTCACCTAATATATTTACTTGAAGTCGAGATGTAGAAATGTTCAAATAAATATTTTAATAATTAAGCATCACATTTGCTTGTTCGTGGTTCTCCGACGCTGGTTAATGGTAATGACATTCAGGTAAACAAATAAAATATGAACTTTTTTAGTATTTTTTTAAATCGATGTTATTTTAAAATGACTTATTTTCAGTTAAAATTTTTATTATTTCATTCATTATTAGCTTTTCATTAAACTCGCACACCCCCTGCAGTTCCTTTACGAACCCCAGTTTGGGAAATATTAACTTAAAGGGGTCATATGATGCTTTTTTAAATATCATTATTTGGTGTATTTGGTGTAACAGAATATGTTGACATGCTTTAATGTTCAAAAAACACATTATTTTTCAAATACTGTACATTATTGTAGGTCCTCTATGCCCCGCCTCTCTCAAACGCTTCGTTTTCTACAAAGTCCCTCCTTCCGACAAGCGCAGTCTGCTCTGATTGGCCAGCTGACCCAGTGCATTGTGATTGGCCGAACACCACAAGCACTCGTCGGAAATGTAACGCCCCTTACCATAATCGCCAGCTTCATCTTTCAAAATAAATGTAAAGACAGAGCCCGAAAGGGGAACAGAGTCGCGTGACAGACACAGTGATGAAGCTGGTATGTGTTTGCAGTACACAAGCCACGGTTAAGACAGCTGACTCCACTGTGATGTGACCCTGTCTCTCTCTCTCGCTCGCGCGCGCACGCACACACACGCACACACACACACACGATGAGCAAAACTCTGCATTTGAACAGTCAAAAGCAAATACTTAAACTCTATGCACAATCAGCTTGTAACACTCCAAAGAGAAAGGAAAACTTGAAATCACATCATATGACCCCTTTAATGTAATGTTTAGTGCTCTTCATATTGTTAAATTACAATGAATGGAATATATTGTCTTACTCTTTGTATTTTTATATCAGTATGGTACAAGACTGACCTATTTAAATCAATGTCAAGTTAGGTCAAAAGTAATCTAAAAGTAATTTAAAAAATCTGATTATACTACCTAAAATGTGTAATGTAATGGATTACGTTACTAACTACAATTTTATGTCATGTAATTTTGAATCCGTAACGGATTGTTTTTTTTTGTTACAATTTGTTAGTAATCTACCCAGCACTGGCTTCACATGTGATGATGCAACAAAATGAATACCAAGCAAGAACACAAAAATGTCCGCTCGGTATGTACGCCGCTTCAGTGTGATGGGCGGAGCTGTGGCTACGTGCAGCTAGTCCTCAGCAGTGTGGCGTCCTGCCCCGCCCCCGCGAACATGCGATTCTACTATAGTGAAGGGTCCTCTCATGAATATTAATTAGTTAACGTGACGTCAACCTAGTGCGCCTACTTGATTGGATTTTGGAATGTGGCCGCTTGAAGGCTTGGCTTATAAATATTAATTTACTCTATGTGTCCAGGAAACGCTAGCACGAATAAATTAATATTCATGAGCCATGCCCTTGCCTTAGTAGAATTCGTAATATTCCGTTGAGCTCGATAACAACATGAGCTCCCCCATAAAAGGCCATGTGATTGACATGGTCCTTTTTTGACATTTAAAAAAAAAATGGAAATCTGTTTGTGTATTTTAATTATTGTATATTTGTTTACTTTACATATTCAGATACCTAATATGTACCTAATATATCTGAAATGAAATGAACGAACGTATTTTGTTACAGCCCACTAGAGGGCTACATGCAGCGTTGTCGTTGTCCTGAGAGGAATCAACACTTGCTCGCAGTCCAGGACACGTAGAGCACTTCTCTACAGACTCAGAGGCACAGTGAAGCTGTCACTGGCCAGTGTGCTTGAGACACAACCGCAGCTGAAGCTGAAACTTCCGTTCAAACGCGCAATTCATTGATGATTTGGCTTCCTTTTTTAGAAAGGGCGTGAAGGCGATTCGAGATAAGTGATATTATCTGTCTCCTGTTTTCGTTATGTCTTCAATCTAGCAGCTTTATTCATTCTAACATAAGGTATGTGACATGCACTTTTGCTTATTCTTGCGATTTATGATTTTGTCATTCCAAATTTATGTTTTAAGTATATTTGGCACAACTATTTGACGGGCCAGTGGAATGCATGAACAGGAACAGGTTTATCTCGGACTGAGATTAGCGAATACCTTCACATTTGATCAACCTGTTCTTGATCATTCGTTTCTCAGTTCATCTTTTCTTGAAACGAATCTGCTGATGTAGCTGTATTTGACTTGTGCTTGTTTGGATCTGACACTTGTGCTTGTCTAATGTGCTTGTTTGTAGTTCTGGTGCACAACACAGTGGGAATCTTAAAGATTCCTAAATGCATCTACTTTCGGAAGGCCAAATAAAGTGCTTTTGCCTAGAAACACACAGCGTCTCCCTGACATGCTGCTTCAACACTAACTGCGGTTACTGAAACCACGCCTTCTTTCTTTGCGTGCACATTTGGGCGGCATTATGCAAATATTCCCACATAGTGACCTAGATATGTGGGGGCGTGTTAGAACGAGCCGTTTTAGGGGGGTGTGGCAGAGTCTTAACTTTGATAAAGAATATCTCTTTGGTTTTGAGACTTTAGTCTTTGCAACTTCAGGGATCTTATCTATGCACAAAACTTGAAATCGCATCATATGACCCCTTTAAGCAAATACGTTAAGTAGCGTCTTCCTGGATAAATGTAAATCCATAGCATGTAAACAAAGGCTGTTTTTGGACCAGCATGTTTATCATGTGTAGTATCAGAATTTTATGGTACTTGCATGACATTTTTTCAAAAAGGTGCAGTATACAGCAACTGAATGCCACAATGTAATAGTGGTGAATGCCTCTGACACAAATTACATAGAAATGTACAATAGCTGTTTTTATTTTTGAATTACACATTTGATTAATATAGACATGTGACAACAATGTGACATACTAGTGTTTGAAACATTAATCAATGCATAATGTTTCACATACTATTACAATGGCTATACCATACTATTGCAGTAGCATAGATGAATACATTGTGTATTTGAGCATGACTGCAATGCTGTAATGCTGTATCATTATCCAGAACTGGAACTATTCATTTCATAATCGTATTTTGGTGGTAATCCAAGAACGTCCTTGTCTTGTTCATGTCTACTTGACAATGACCTCTCTGTATCTGTAATGGTCAAAAAGATCGCCTGTACCACAGAGAACTAGTGAACAAATATTTTTTTCTTAACCACAAAGCTTTTTGTGCTGTTATCAGAAGCAGCAGTGAACTAATGTACAGTATGCAAAAAATAGTTTTCCTCCATCTCTGTGACAAACTCACTTCCATATATGGAGCTCTCTCAAGCTCTCATGATGTGACTTCCTTAACCTCATGGACAGTAAATTTTACTGTAAATAAGTCAGGTTGCATTTATACTAATATTTTTGTGCTTAAACAAGTGGGTTTGTCTATTCCTTAGAACAAAAACGAAACCGAGCAGGATGGGCACTCTGTCAGGTTTGGCTCTTTAACTGAGAAAGGCCGGGTATGTTTAATACAAGTTTTGATTTCGACCCTTCACCTTTACTGTTTCTTTCCCAGATTTGATTAATCCATCTTACCCTGTGTCATTGTGGCATCTAGCCTGGAATCCATGATCTTTCTATATTTCACCTTATTTTCCCTTTCATTCCTTCTGCATTTGCTCACTGTGAAAAGAATATCTATTAGGGATGCGAAGAACGTGTGTCTGATACAGACAATAATATTTGATATGTTATTGTTGATATAATGGCTAATATTGTAAACTTTTTATATTGTACAGCAGAGAAGATGTGTAACAGGGCTGACGAGACGTGAGACGTTCGGATCCAAATGCAAAGCTTTATTTCAGAGACGTGGTAAACAGGCAGGGTCAAAACACTGGCAAACAGGTATATGGCGAGCAAAACACAAGAATAGTCACCGGGCTAGCGTAGGTCACCGAACAGCAGACAGAGTCACAGGGGCAAGGCTAAAGGGAGGAATCCAGGAAAACAGGCGAAGATCAAAACCGGAGAAAACAGACAAGACAAGGCAAGGCAAAAACTAGGAAAACACGGAGACTCTGAAAGGGGTACAGGCTAAACAATACTCAGCAGAGAAATGTGGTTAGAGTGGGTGTTATATAGTGAATGAGGTAATTAGAAACAGCTGTGTGCAATCAGAGCAATCAGGTGTGTGCAATTCGTGCTGAGTGCAATCAGTGCAATGCATGATGGGAAATGTAGTCCGGGGTGATGTGCAACAGTGTGTAGTGCGAGAGTCAATGAAATTAGAAGTTCATGGACCGGATTCGTGACAAGATGATACTTTTTAGTGCTTTTTTAACCTAGCATAGTAAAAGACTTTTCTACGTCAATAGAAAAAAAACACATTATAAAACTATCAACACAGATACTGTGTTGCTTATGAATACCTATATCACGCTGTGTCTTATGACACATGGGTAATGTTTCCAGACTTTATGGGTTCCCTGTAAAGAGGAGCCCACACTTTCCTAGTGTCTGACGTATATTTGTACTCACTATCTCACTGTGACCTTTCAAAAGGAAATACATAATTGGCTGAATGTACTTGGCCACAGGATCTACGTTTACTGGTTATTTTGAGATATCGTGTCATGTCTGCCGCACGTCAGGTTTATTTCACTGATGACACTCGGATCATGATGAAACTTTTATAACTGTATTGTAGTAAAGTAAAGTAGATCTCTTACAGCTGTTATTCAGAATTTGCAAAGCACAAAGTTCAGGAAATAACCAAGCCTGGGGTGTGTGCTCCTGACTAATGCTTAGCAGGATCACAGAACAGCAACTTGTTGTTGGAGTACCTGTCCAACAGGAACGGGAATCAAGGGATTTAACCATTCTTGTTCCAATTCTGATTCCTAAAGGGAACAGGATGTCTTAATCATTTTCTGATGGTTTTTCTTTGATTTTTTTTTAACTGGGATCCCTCAGCTAATGTCTACTGAACACTTTCAGCATTGATTCAAGCTTTTCTTTGTCCTTTTATTCCTGCATGACCATTATTGTAGCATACCTCTATTCCTCCAGTACCGTCCCTCTTTTCCCAACCATTGTTTTGTGCTTGCACACAGCCGTAAAATATAACGTGGATCTCTACCATCTTCAGTTTTTCCACCCATACAGGAGGATGTGGAAGTTTTTCAAACAACTTCATTTTTTTCTTGATCAGGCAACTTGGAAACATGCTATTGAGAAAGCCAAAGCCATGCCAGATCCTTGGGCTGAGTTCCATCTGGAGGAAATCGAGACAGAGCGCTGCACTCGATACAGGTGAGTAAATATGGGGCCTTTTGAAGTGTTGACCTACTGTTCATGGAGTGGAGGTTTGAATCCAGCAAGGGGCAACACATAAGCAGTGTAAGAGTAGCTCATTTGAATCTGTAGACAGCCAAGCTACAAGCTAGGTCAAGCTAATCTTTGGGAAAAGACCTGAAAGACTTTTGTTCATCTTCAAAACACAAACTGCTGCCACATATTTCTGTCCATCCAACCAAAACTTTGACTTGAATCGAGTGGTTTGATGCAGAGACACACTTTATGAACAGATGAAATTTAGACATTTATTCACATATAAACTTTGATCGATGCACATACAAGAAGCATCAAAAATGGTAAACAGAAGGTCAACTGTACTTGCTTGATACGCAAGAACAAACATCATTGATTCTCCCACACCGAAAATATCTTCATTCGTGTTTCAGAGATGAACGAAAGTCTTATGGGTTTGGATTAGAGCAACATGAGGGTGAGTAATTGATGACAGAATTTCATTTTTGGATGAATTATCTAATTAAATGAACAACTACCTCAGTAAAAATATATGAAATATAAAAATTAGGCTTTTGAATAAATTAACGATTTCAGTTACAATGACAGAAACACAAAATCCACTTAAAACTAGAATGTTACTGCACTCATTTGAAAACACCTGAGCTGCTCTCATATTACTGAAAAATAACAATTAAATAAATACATTTTTATATTAAATAAAAAACTAACTGCACATGAGATTGACCCCTGTGCCCTTGTGCACTATCATCACTAAACTTTGGTTTCCTCCTGTTACCAGTCCTGAGTTTTTACCACTATGCCACATCACAGACACCTGACACAACTCCTCAATCTCATATGATTTCAGAACGTGTCACCGCATGTTAAATAGCACTGTAAGTATAACGTTAGATGGATACAAACACAAGGGGTCCGCTCCCAGTTTCAAGACTCTATTTTTAAACATTTGTAACTTCACACCTCTAAAATATCCCTTGACGTCCAGCCAATGGCTGTGTTTGCCATTAAACAACTGCGTCTGATGGGTAGGTCTACATGGTACACAGTATTCTGGGCAACGGGGGAAAAACAGCACTTACTTGTGTAAATATTGGCCGTTTGCTTTTAGGACTGTGCCCATTGTGCATAGTATTTGCTCTATTAACTCTTTCATTAACTCTTCCAATGAAGACGAGTAATCACTTTTGTGTAATTTTTTCTTCATAATGTAGAAGATACATTTTTTAAGGTAAAATGCATTTACATTTGTTACATTTACATCTCCATGTAGCCTCATAGTTTGAGGCTGATTTCCAGTTGCTGGTGTGGAAAAAGTTTGAGAACTACTTCCTGAGAATGAAAGGGAATAGAAAGTTATATTTAAAGTGATTAAAGTGTAAACATGTGTTCTTGCTTTTTAGATACAATGCAGTTACTGGTGAATGGGCAAAAGACGACATATTTATCAAGGTTTCCTCTCAGGTATTTTGGCATTATAATACACTTGTTTTCTGTGAAAGTAAATGTGTTCATACTGATTAATTATGTTTTTTTTAGTAATTAAATTCTACTTAAATTCTATTCTATTTTTTCACAGGTGTTTGGAAAAGGAGCCATGAGGGAATGCTATAGAGCGTAAGTCAAGCCAATTTAATCATATATATATTAGGCTAGGTAAATATGACTGTTTATTAATGAGCATTGGTTTTAAGTAAAAGTAAAATTGTACAGTTTCTTGTTATTGTAGTCAAGTTTTTCCATAGTTTTTTTTCACCTTTTAACCTTTTTGTAGTAAATATTTTTTTTTTAATTAGATGTACAAATATTCCATGTAATTGTTTAATTGCATATTATAAACTGCACATTATAATGTTAAAAGTGTTAGAAAAATTATGTGTAGAGTAGTTTTACTCGTCACGCTGCAGGACATTACTGACACTGCTTGACACATCTTTTACTTCTGAACTCATATTAATCAGCCTGCCAACATTGTATTAAACATATTTGTTATACTTTATAAAATATAAATCCCTTTAGTTGGAATGTCCCTTTCTTATTGGTATATCTTCCATTTTTCAAGTGATAATTTTAATGGCTATTTATTTTTTGTTTTTTGTTGACCGGTAGTTTTCTTTTCTCTTTCATTCACAGGAAGAAGCTGTCAAACTTTTCCCACAGCAGCAACTGGAAATCAGCCTCAAACTACGTGGCTAAGAGATACATGGAGACCGTGGACAGAGAGGTTTACTTTGAGGATGTGAGGTTACAAATGGAGGCTAAATTATGGGGCGAGGAGTTCAATCGCCACAGGCCTCCAAAACAGGTACTTATTTGGTGGATGTAGTTTTTAAACCAGGTTTAAGAATATCATATATGAATTTTGTACTTCTTTAACATATCTCATCATTATTAGGTTGACATCATGCAGATGTGCATTGTGGAAATGACTAGTCGCCCTGGGAGCCCTTTGTTTCACCTGGAACACTACATTGAGGGAAAGTACACAAAGTACAACTCTAACTCTGGTTTTGTGAGGGACGATAACATACGGCTTACACCTCAGGTATGTTGTCAAAAATGTAACAAATCTGAATCTTTTGTCCCTGGGAAATGATGTGTGGTTATTTATTGGCAATTATGTGTTTGTGGTTTTAGGCATTCAGTCATTTCACATTTGAGCGCTCTGGACACCAGCTGATAGTGGTGGACATTCAGGGTGTTGGGGACCTTTACACAGACCCTCAGATCCACACTGAGAAGGGAACCGACTTTGGAGATGGCAACCTAGGTATTTATTAACATCCAGCATTTTTTTCTCCTTAGAAACTTGAAGATTTCAAATTTGATTTGTCTTAAAGGAGTAGTTTACTCCCAGAATAAAAATTGACCCCCATGTCATCCAAGATTTTCATGTCTTTCTGTCATCAGTAGCAAAGAAATTAAGGTTTTTGAGGAAAGCATTCCTGGACTTTTCTCCATATGATGGACTTCACTGGTGGCCAACGGGTTGAAGGTCCAATTTGTTGTTTCAGTGCATCGTCAAAGGGCTCTGCACAGTCCCAGCCGAGGAATAAAGGTCTTATCTAGCGAAACGAGCAGTCATTTTCTAAAAAAATACAAAAATTGATACTTTTTAACTACAAATGCTCGGCTTGCACTACCTCCGCTATGCGTGTGACGTAATCACGTTGGAAAGGTCACGCACCATTAGCTCTTTTTCTGTGTACTCCGGTTCAAAAAGGTAGGGTAGGGTGAAAAACTCCGAAAAATTGTCCGACATCTATGTTTTACCTTTTGTTGTAAAGGCCATTTGACTTTCTTTGCATGTTTGCTTTGTAAACACTGGGTTGGTTCTTCCGTCTACGTCACGCATGACCTTTCCAACGTGACAATGTAATGGTCGAGCTAGTGCAAGGCAAGCATTTGTGGTTAAAAATCTAACTTTTTTTTTTGTAAGAAAATTACCAATCGTTTAGCTAGATAAGACCCTTATTCCTTGGCTGGGATCGTGTAGAGCCCTTTGAAGCTGCACTGAAAGCGCAGTTTGGACCTTCAGCCCATTGGCCCCCATTGAAGTCCATTATATGGGGAAAAATGTTTTTCCTCAAAAACCTTAATTTCTTTTGCGACTGAAGAAAGAAAGACATGAACATCTTGGATGACATGAGGGTGAGTAAATTTTTAGGAAATCTTTATTCTGGAAGTGAACTATTTCTTTAAGTTTAAGTAATGTAAGCATGAGAAACATTTGTAGTGATTGTCTATGTGTTTGTGTTTCAGGTGTGCGTGGCATGGCTCTTTTTTTCCACTCTCACCTGTGTAATAAGATCTGTAGGAGTATGGGCCTTACTCGGTTTGACATGTCCCCTTCTGAAATTGCAGAGTTGGACTGCACCAACAAATTGCTGGTAAGGCTAGTGTGAGAGATTTGGGCCAGTTGATGGAGCTGCACAATAGTGACATTGCTATATTTATATAGAGTGCTGCGGAGATGACGTATTTTTGTAGGCCAGCCCGGAAGTTAGCATCACCCTGGTTTCCTCGAGAAAAACCCAGTAGGATTTTTCCATCGGCTTTTAGATTATTGCAAAAAAATAAGCTTTGTGACCGACAAAAGTTTGATTCTTTCACCGTGTCTACACACTGGACGCGAGCGGTGCAGCACGACGCGACAAAATAATATAGAACCCAATAATCAGTGATGCTGTCTACACTAGATGCAGCGCGGTGCGACACGACAAATCCCCGACAGCAAACTGCTGCCTCGTTCTATCTATGATGTACTGACACTAAATTCAAATGATTTGCAACGGTCGCTTTGTCGACTTTAGCTGTTGCGGTGCGACGTGGTGCGGCGAGACAACTGTCGCATCCAGTATAGACACGGTGTTTGTTTTGTTCATCTGGATAATCTTCACAAATGAACATAACCTTTATGAATTTTGAAGCCTCAATACAATGGCAGAAGCTAAAAGCTAAACGCAGGCTATAGATGAACAACATCCCGGTTGCATGCCTTTAGTGTCACCACCATTAAGCTTCAGACAACTCTATTTATTAAAAAAACTTTTCTCTGAAAGTTTGAATTAGAATAGTTTACAAGAACACAATTATAAATGCAATGAGCCTGTAAACATGGACCAGTGAGTAGATAAGTTTTATCTCACATTACTGACTTTTTTTCTCGCAATTGTGAGTTTATATCTCGCAACTCTGACTGTTTTTCTCGCAATTCTGACTTTTTTTCTCATGCGAGTTATAAAGTCAGAATTGCGTGATATAAACTCGCAATTGCGAGTTAAAGTCCAGTTTTGAGGGGGGGGGGACTATGTTCTCATAATTGCGAATTTATATCACACAATTCTGACTTTATTTCTCCGAATTGTGAGTTTATATCACGCAATTCTGAGAAAAAATGTCAGAATTGTCAGATTAAATGTCGCAATTACCTTTTTTCTTTTTTATTCTGTGGCAGAAACGGGCCTCCATAGGTATTACTGATGTATTGTATGTTGTAGAATAAAACTTAAAAAAATATCTCGACCTTGTGTCAACCACAGATCTTATTTCAGCCATTTACCCAAAAACCCATTCAGAAAGCCCTTTGACTTCAGGATGTTGGAACTGGAACTGCTAAAATGCTAACTCGTTTCCGGGTTTTGGCCAACAAAAATGTCATCCTGCAGCACATCTATAGCTGATGTATTGATGTACCATTTTTCCATGGTTAACAAAAAAATGCTGTACTAAAATATTATATTTTGATTCTGATAGTTAATTAAAATATGTTTTTTTTTTTGGTGTGGCCAGTTCAGATATCACTGGAATTGCTGACCTAATTAGTCACGCTTAGCGCTGCATTCACAAATTGTTGCAATTGTTTATTCATTTCTGCAGGTTTTCTAAATTCTTTTTTCTTAGCAGCAGTCAGCTAAGACTGTCCTCCGTGGATGTGAAGAGCAGTGTGGTTCGCCCAGGGTCCGGACGACCTCTCTCGGCCACATGCCTGTTCTCCTCTCGCGGCTCTCTGAGACCTCCTCAGTTGATGAAAGCAGTGACACAGACTCGATTCCCTGTTCTCCACTTAGTATGGCCATCTCTGCAGGCCGATCATCCATGGGTAATCCTGTACTAACCCAGCACTATGTGTGAATGCACTTGAGTGGTCCACCAGAGTAATATCAAACCCCCTTCAAGCCAAGTCAGATCAAGTCAGTGGCAGATATTTATTGTGTAGGTTACAAGCATGCAGTCGCAACCTACTGGAATGGAGAAAGACTGAAAGGCTTAAAAGTAGGTTTTAATAACATTTATAATTAGTAGTTCAATTTGAAAACAGTGGTATCACACCTTTTTTCTCTCTTTACTGAATAAAGCAGTATTTTTCAGACAAGTCTAGTTAAATGTTATTAATACAGTTATCCATCTTCTCCTTCACATATTGTCTATGGTAATATCAGTGTGTAACAGTTGCCCCCTACTTAAGGCAATAGACAAAACAATGAATGAATCTTTTTTTAGGGTCTTTTGCAATAACAATTTGTCAGCTGTCAGGATGTTACAACCATCTGGAAACCCTTTTTTCAAATATAAATATTTAAAGTACAGGAAGTGCCTCCACTTGTTGTCAGCTGGCCGAGAACTGAAGTGGGCTTTTGACTGGCTGGTTGTGATGTTACTAAAATTACCAGTTCTTTTCTATGGGAAAACAAAGGTAAATATTCAGTGGGTTTGGCTATTTTTTTTTAGAAAGAAATGTTCTCTATGCTTTCAAAATGCTTAAAAGTTTAGTGTGTTGTTTGACACCTACAAAGGAAAAGTCCACAACCATCTTTTTATATTTTGATACCAATATGCATAACTGAAAACGGCAGTATAAATAATTGTTGCTCTAAACATGCTTGTCTGCAGCAGTGTGACTTGTCTAAATATAGCCATGTTTATAAGAAATGTCCCCATAGAAATGACAATGAAAATGTAAGTATGGTAGTAAGGGTTTGTTTTCCCTAATGCTCAATTATGTTCCTCCCAAGTGTATGGTGCACTGCTGATGGTATCTATGGCTTACTTTATGAATATTAATTAGCTGGTGTTGAAGTTGCTAGGTAACCCTCCTGGGCCAGCATGCACCAACCTTTCATTGTTTTGATTAGTATTATAAGCACACACATTCTAACTTGCATATATAAGGCTTTAGTGGAGTATATACTCGTTTAAAAAATATCAAAATGTTGAATATTTAATATTATGATTGGAAACAGCATTAACAAAAGTGTTCAAGCAATTAATATCAACAGCAACCTGATTCGTAGTACTATATTTTGTTCAATTAAAACACATTGGATTAAGACATTTTTCATTTTTTTTCAATCCATGTGTACAAAGAAACCAACCACAACATATTTTATTTGTGAATTTCATTCTCACATCTGTCAGCAGTCAGGACATTCTAGCTGAAATGTAAAGTTTGTTCCCATATGTCAGGTTCATACAGCTTTAGCAGCTTTTTTTTTTTAGGACAACTGTGCATTCATTTGTATTCATTTCCCCACTACTATGTCTATGTGTGTTTACAGGCTGGTCATTTATGAATGAAATGAATGAGGCACATCGAGCTAACACAGATCACAAGGTCAGTTTATGAATAAGAATATATATCCACAGTTAACAGTGACATTAAATTCATTGATATTTTGTGGAAACTGATTTGATTTAAGTTGATTTTAGCAGCAATGCAAAGCTGATTACTACTGTGAACTGTACTTGCATTCACAGGACTCAGAGAATGGAGGAGACAGTGGTTACCCCAGTGAGAAACGCAGTGAAGGAGACTCAGTCGAGCATCACAGTCAGGTACAGATTATCAGCTGGCTAGACAATGCAATTATTAAAATGAAATATTAAAATGATGATCATTTTATAAAAATATTAAAATGATGTTGTATATTTTCAATATATATTATATTGTTATTCTATATTATATTAATCACAACATTATTTGTATCTGGCACAAAAACAATGAGGGTTTTTGATGATTGAGCCATTTCTTTGAGGGTGTCACCTTCAGCATTAAACCCAAACAAATACAGAACATTTTAAACTAAACTAAGAATTTACAACTGTTGTATTTAAATAAGAAATTGAAATTAGAAGCTATTATTCAATGTATCATT